ATAATAAGTCATAATACACAATAATAAGTAATAATAAGTCATAATATCTAATAATAAGTAATAATAAGTAATAATACACAATAATAAGTAATAATAAGTCATAATACATAATAATAATTAACAATAAGTCATAATACATAACAATGAGTAATAATAAGTCATAATATGTAATAATAAGTAATAATAGGTAATAATACGTCATAATAAGTAATAATAAGTAATGATATGTAATAATAAGTAATAATACATAATAATACATAATAATAAGTAATAATTTGTCATAATAAGTAATAATAAGTCATAATAAGTCATACTTTAACTACATATTAACTCATTGACTGCCAGCCATTTTCAGAACAGAGAGTCGCTCACTGCCAGAGTTTTTTGAGAATTTTGACTGATTTTTCCAGAGCCACAGAATAGTTTGTGCTATGACTATGTAAACACCGAACACACCAAAAGAAAGAGTAGACTCTCTTCTTTCATCAGGAAAAAAGATTTTGTTTCTACCTCATTCCGTTCTTCTTCGACGTGCGTCTCACCGGCGCCATTTCTCTCATAGCGAACCATTGCGTTTGTTTTTATTTGCTTACAATCTATGCTAATCTCCCATCAAAAGTGGCACAGCTACCTAGAGGGTAAATTTGTTAGTCCATACTCTGTCTAGAAGCCGATATTTACGGAAAAACTTTCGCCGATCGTCCCCCAAGCCACTCGCATTGAAAAACATAAAAGACGTCTATAGACGTCTTTGGCAGTCAGCGGTTGGATTTGAAAAGACGTCTATAGACGTCTTTGGCAGCGAATGAGTTAATAATAATAAGTCATAAATAATATGTAATAATTTCACTCCGCAGCATCCGGTCATCAGTAATCTTTACTCTAAGGGAGGAACTGTTGGTCCAGAGGTGGCTCTCTGCGGCTCTGGCCGGGGGAGGATGGTAATAATAAGTAATATGCATTAAGTCATAATAAGTCATAAGTCATAATAAGTAATAATAAGGACTCACCGGACTGCCCGGATGACGGTCTTGATTGAGGGCAGCAGGTCCTCCACAGAGATCTCACAGTGGCAGCCTTTCTCATCGAAGCCATCCTCGGCCGCCATGTTGGACTCCGTTGCTGGGGGGAGGAAGAGGAAGAGGAAGAGGAGGATGAGCCAATCACTGGGTTTTAGAGCAGTCTGAGTCCTTCAGATCTGAGAAAAAACCCTTATTTGTATAACAGAAGCCTTAAAAAGTGGAGAAACGTATGCTAGCATGAACCGAACCTTAACCTTAACTGGAGCCTTTAACCCTCTAAAGCCAAATGTGTCATATCTGATCCGGTTTCTTTTGGATGTGAGACTTTCTGCATCATTCAGTGGTAAAAGCTTTGCTCAAACCCCTGTTGTACACATTCAGATATACCTGATAACAGCCAGTAGAAGACTACACCAACATAGATTTCTGACTTATTGCACGCTAATTTGATCAAATAATTTCTGTTTTTTTTCTTCATATGTTGTTGAGGGGCCACAGAAAGACTTCAGACCAAAAAAATCCAATATTTTTCCTATTTTTCTCTTGGATCAGGCTTTAAAGCCTTTAAGCTAACAGGAGCTTTTAGCTGGAGGCTAATATCTGTGGAGGCTCCATCATT